TGCCGTTTGTTTACCACGGGGTCGGATTCATACTTAATTTTGAAATGCAAGCATGTGAACATAAACACTAAAAGAACACTGTTCAATACAATATTCTTACCAATGCTGTGCTATCAATGTCAAACATGGACACTAAATATCTTCAGAAGACAGAAGGAAAATTGTCACAAGGGAAATAAAATGTTTACATACTGTGCTAGGAGTAATGAGAAAAGATAAACTTAGGAAAGATATCAGGAGAAGAGTCAGCACAGAACCAATACTGAATTTAATAGGTAGACAACAAATCAAATGGTTTGGTCATGTAATGATACTGGCATCAGACATGGCCCCGCAGAGTTATACAGATACAACAGTAACATACAACAGAAGATGGACCGCAGAAATATCAGTCACTGAAAAGTACTTTATACAAAGTGAACAGAAGGGCTCCTTCTGGAGATCTCTTCTTGCCCTGACGCTCGAGTCATTCCAGGAGTAGAGAGAAGAAGAAGTAGAAGTTTACCAGTGAAACATAAACTCTCGGTCAACTCTTGCAAAATGTTTTGTAGACTGGCTGAATTTTGCAGCTAAAGTTGTTTATGGGATGTGTTAGCCTGTCTCAGACCAACCCTCCCTAGTCGCATCTAATCACATGCATGGTTCCTTACAGTTTTATTGTTAATTTTTTCCCTTATGTGCCACACTAACAAACAGGCAAAGCAGCTTATTGTACAGTGGTGACCAAAAGTTGAAGACCACAGAGTAAATAATAGATATTTCCATCTTATCACATCAGTTGCTAATTTGGGGCTCATTCAATGGAATCACTGCAGTATATTGCTTTATCCTTACATTAAATCTCTGTGGCTAAATCGATGTGAACGCTTCGTTCTGCTGGGATGCTGGGTTTGATCCCAGCTGCGGGCCATGCGCCTTTTGTTGGTTTCAACCATCCAGAAAGCAATGACAAAATACAGAGCATAAATTTGCCTAGAAAAACCACACAACAGCCAGGGGTTGGTTCTGCAACCTTATACGCAACTAACTTAACCTTACATTAAATGTTGAATTAAGAATCCACATCATAACACTTGGGATGCTCCCATGTACGCTCCATTCCCATCTTCAGCAGCAAATGAAGAGTTCCAATGTTTATCTATTTCGCCCTTTTTTTGAGTGTTAAGCGTCGACCAGATCCTCTGGTAACTAGAGCCATTCTCCTCATACTGTAATGATCTGTCAGTGCCTCCGCACTGTTTACTTGTTCCCAAAGGGACCTCACAACATCAGGCTTGTTGTACATCAATTCACCACCAAGTGATGCAGAAACAGCCAGGTTTTTTAAATTTTAAATGGGTACTTTTGTTCAAACTGACTGCAGCAAAAGGGCAGTTCACAGTGCGATCACAATTTTCAGGCTGAGCAGACTTTATTCATTGAGCATCATGTGACAAGAAATAATATTTGACTGATGGGGTAATCAAATGCTTTTGTGAGTTGTCATGTACTGTAAGAATAGAACCTTTCTCTGCTAGTTTAGCATTTGCGACTACCATAATATTTGTAGATATAAAACTACACAGAAAAGATGGAAGATGCAAAGGTACAGGCATCTAATAAGATCTAATAACCTCTCAAAAACAGGGCTCAGTAGAGGAGAGGAGAAGAGGCAGACCAAGAAAGACCTAGATACAGAACCTGACTGACTGGACAGGTCTTAGGTTTGCAACATTAAGTCCATTGCATCTGACAATGAAAGGTGTAAGCAGCCGATCAGTCAGTCGATAGCAATTGGTGACCCAGTGGCATTCTGTGTTGTGGAATGATGATGAAAGATGAAAATAGAGACTAAAAAGGGTTTGTTGAAATCGGATGTGTTTGGCGGAGAGAAACAGATAGCGCTGCCTAGCTGTAACCCACAACACAACGTGTTGACTGCCCTTTTACAGACAAATACAGAATAAGCAATCAGCTTAGACATTGCCTACAGCTGGAATCCACCTGTTGTGTGTGTGTGGATAAGTCACAGCAGATGTCGAAAGGAAAGGCAGACTTTTAATGGGTTAACCAAAGACACCATTAATATTGGCACTGTTTGCTGGCTACTATAGAAAGGGATGTTATATTATCGCAGTCTAATTCATAATTGTGACACAACATTTACCTTTTTTTTTGTGTTTGTTACATTGTGAAGCTCGCTGATCTTCAAAATGATAGCGCAACATTTACTTTTTATTTGTGCTTGTTATATTGTTAAGCTCACTGATCTACTTTTTGTTTGTGTTTGTTACATTGTGAAGCTCGATGATCTACTTTTTGTTTGTGTTTGTTATATTGTGAAACTCACTGATCTACTTTTAGTTTGTGTTTGTTATTTGTGAAGCTCACTGATCTAACTTTTCATTTGTGTTTGTTATATTGTGAAGCTCGCTGATCAGCTTTTTTTGTGTGTGTGTGCCTGTTATATTGTGAAGCTCGCTGATCGACTTTTTGTTTGTGTTTGTTATATTGTGAAGTTCGCTGATCTACTTTTTGTTTGTGTTCCTTTAGAGTTAGAGTGCATCTGACTAAGAGGTGAGGAACCAACAGTCTGCATACAAATAAGCCATATCTGTACAACAATTATGCACACAAAACCAAGTTCTGGAGCAAGATCAGTCCAGAAATAGATGAACAACCAGAACTTTCCATTGAAGTTTACAGCCGGTGAACGCTGTGAAGACATTTGGGCTTTCCCATGTATGCAAAGTCCTCAGATACAGCAGTCATCTAACAGTACCTCTACTGATTGTTTCATTGTAAAGTTAGTTTTGATTTGCTCAATTTTGACACAGAGATGTTGAAAAAAGACTTGCTTCAGCAGGTTCTCGTCTACATTCTTCATCCTCTTCTGCATTTGACATTAAAAGGGTGGTAGTTATGGTTTTCAGCTAGCCTTGAGTATGTGTGCCCTTTGATCCAACATATCAGATTTAAGCAAATTTAGAACCAACACTGACAGGTCTGCCACACACACACACACAATATATATATTTTAGAGCAAACACAGAACTCTGAAAACATTGAACTCTAACCACTCTTTTACTGACTAGTTCTACTTATATAACACATGTAAGGAAGAAACTAAAAAATTACAACTTGTTTTGCAAGAAAAATTCTTCAAGAAGCCAGAAACAGTTCAGAATTAAAAAAAAAAAGTTCAAAATAAAAATATAGATTGTGAAACTTTTATTATGTTTTATAATCAAGAACATACTTTATCTTTTACTCCAAGTCAAAATGAGATGTAAAACAGGCACTTTTTTTGGAATACCAATCATCAAGTCATTTTTAGTAATCATTTTGTTCTTTAGTTTCATTTTTACAGACTTGGAGTTCCTGTACCGGTCTTGCAGATCTTAGTGGTTTCTGAGCTTGAAGAGGATGTGCAACACAGTTTCCTTGAATACAGTGCATGTTTACTAGGCTTCAGGTAAGTCTCGACACCAGTGTCACAGATATTACCCCGTTTCAGAGTCCAAGGAACCTGAGGGACAGTTCTTCTTCTTCGGCCTTTTGAGTCCTTGAGGTTCTCTGCTGCAAATGCCACTTGCCTCCATTTATCTCTGTGATTGATCTTTTTTGCAGCTGGGACCTCCAAGGGTTTGTAGGTTTGCCTAAGTGTTATTTCTAATGCCTTTATCTTTGTCTCCATCCTGGTCTTCTCCCAGTCAACAATTTTATGACACAAATTTTTATTTTTGTTATCTGCCATAACATCAGATAGAAGATGTACTAAAGAAGTTAAATGTAGAATAGCTCAAGCAAAGGCAGCATTTTACAAAATGAAGAATATTTTATGCGAACTTTCTTTGTCAACTGAGACAAAAAAATGAATTCTTAAAAGCTATATAAATCCCATCTTGAATTACGGATGTGAATCATGGACACTTGGTTAATTAGTAAAAACTTAATTGGGAGCTGTGGAGATGTGGTTTTATAGATGAATGATGAAAATACCCTGGACAGATGAAAAGACTAATGAAGACGACTTGAAAGAATCTGACTCATGAAGAGAACTGATTGCCTACATCAGAAAGAGAAAATCTATATTCTTTGGTCATGTGATGAGAAGGAGAAAACTGGTGTACATCGTGACAGTAGGAAAGTTGGAGGGGTGGAGAGAACAGAAGCTGGACAGTCTGACATCATGGCATGGAGGATAATCTATATTAGAGTTGATTGAAAGTACATGAGACAGAAGGTTGTGGATAGAGATGACTACCATCACCACAGGGCATGGACTTTAAGACATTTCCTTAGCCCTCATAAAGCCACAGATTAATGGGCTCTCCTTGCAATAACGGTCTCTAGTTGGACGGCGACGGCCGCTTAGTCGGAGTTCAGTCCCCTGGCTGCAGTGCAATTACGGAATGGAAAAGAGGGAACGACACAAATGACATACTTAGGGGTAGGGTTAGGGTTAGTCACATCCGTGGCCACTAAGTCTTACGTCGCAAGAACTCACTTTGTTTTGTGATTCGTGCCTTGTCCACTCTGTAATTGCACTGCAGCCAGGAGACTGAACTCTGACTAAGCGGCCGTCGCCGTCCAAGCAGCGACCCTTATTGCAAGGAGAACCGATTAATGGCATTTCAAATATAACTGACAATACATCAGAATTTACGCTCGCCGCCGATCGGAAGGTCGTGGGTTCACTTCCTGGAGGAGCCAGACTTTTGTTCAAAAATGACTTTGGCTCCTAGGTCCACCCAGCCTTGAGTGGGTACCGGGTGCTGACCACATCACTTATCTTGTGCCGATTGGTCTATAAAATATAGGTCTAGCCCTATACGCCTAAAGGTGTTTAAAAGGGTTGTTTACTTTTTTTTTTAACTTGCCTAAAAATTTAAAGAGAAAAACTCAGTTTTTCTGAAGATTCAAACCATTCAAGCGAGTAAATAAAAGACACACATACATGTTAAGATAAACGAAAAACTATGCCTGACACCCAAAATGTCATTGACAATTAAAGTGATCTAATGACTGTCAATAAGGTGTCTGTGAATGCCCTTCTGTCTCAGTCTCAGCAAAAACCCATCAACTGTTAATCTCTTCCCAGGGTTTGGGTCCAGCAGTTTCAACAACAGCTCTCTGTGAAAATTGAGAAAGACCAATAAATGCTTACAAAAAGCCGAACAGGGATATTGTTGCAGACTAATACGTAAAGTATCCCATGATCCTCAAGTACGAGAATTCATTTCCGCAGCTGACAGTTCAGTTAACTTATTTCAACTTAGTCGATATATATATTTTAAAATCTTCCCAAATAAGAGCAAGAGTGGTCGGATGCATGTTTGAGTACTTGTGTATTTCTTGGTATTTGTGTGTTTGGGGAGCATGAGTAAGTTGTGCGTGTATTCATGGAAAAGGGGGGGAGGGTGGGGGGTGGGGGTTTAATGCATATTGTGCGAGTGAAAGGGGCGGGGTTAACTGAGATGTGCTTACTAATATGTGAAAGCGTCTTTTCTCTGTTTGTGTATTAATGTGAGAGCCTGTTCTCTGTGTGTGTATATTAATATGAGAACCTGTCTTCTGTGTGTATATAATAATGTGAGAGCCTATTCTCTGTGTGTATATTAATGTGAGAGCCTGTTCTGTGTGTATATTAATGTGAGAGCCTATTCTCTGTGTGTATATTAATGTGAGAGCCTATTCTCTGTGTGTATATTAATGTGAGAGCCTGTTCTGTGTGTATATTAATGTGAGAGCCTGTTCTCTCTGTGTGTATTAATATGAGAACCTGTTCTCTGTGTATTAATGTGTGAGAGCCTGATTGAGGTGTGTATCACTATGTGAGAGTGCCTGATAGCTGCGTGTGTATCACTATGTGAGAGTGCCTGATAGCTGCGTGTGTATTAATGTGAGAGAGCCTAACTATGTGTGTATTAATGTGAGAGGGCCTGATAGTTGTGTGTGTATTAATTGAAGAGGGCCTAATAGTTGTGTGTGTATTAATGTTCTTCATCTTTCGTTCGAATAAAAAAAAAATTATCCATATCTGCAATGCTGTCTCTAGTATACGTATTAATATGAGAGGGCCTAATATTTGTGTGTGAATTAATGTGAGACTGCCTAATAGCTGTGTGTGTGTTAATGTGAGAGGCCCTGATAGCTGTGTGTGTGTTAATGTGAGAGGCCCTGATAGCTGTGTGTGTGTTAATGTGAGAGGCCCTGATAGCTGTGTGTGTGTTAATGTGAGAGGGTCTGATAGCTGTGTGTGTTAATGTGAGAGGCCCTGATAGCTGTGTGTGTGTTAATGTGAGAGGGTCTGATAGCTGTGTGTGTATTATTGTGAGAGGGTCTGATAGCAAGCAGTGTGTGTATTAATGTGAGAGGGCCTGATAGCTGTGTGCGTATTATTGTGAGAGGGTCTGATAGCAAGCAGTGTGTGTATTAATGTGAGAGGGCCTGATAGCAAGCAGTGTGTGTATTAATGTGAGAGGGTCTGATAGCAAGCAGTGTGTGTATTAATGTGAGAGGGTCTGATAGCTGTGTGTGTATTAATGTGAGAGGGCCTGATAGCAAGCAGTGTGTGTATTAATGTGAGAGGGCCTGATAGCAAGCAGTGTGTGTATTAATGTGAGAGGGCCTGATAGATGTGTGTGTATTAATGTGAGAGGGCCTGATGGCTGTGTGTCTTTTAATGTTAGAGGGTCTGAAAGCTGTGTGTGTATTAATGTGAGAGGGCCTGATAGCTGTGTGTGTAATAACATTAGAGAGTCTGTTCTCTGTGTGTGTAATATTGTAAGAGGGCCTGATAGATGTTTGTGTGTATTAAGGTGAGAGGGCCTGATAGCTGTTTATGTGTGTGTGTATAAATGTGAGAGGGCCTGATAGCTGTGTGTGGGTATTATCGTGAGAGGATTTGATAGCTGTGTTTGTGTATTAACGTTAGAGGACCTGTACTATGTGTGTGTAGTAAGGTGAGAGGGCCTGATAGTTGTGTGTGTATTAATGTGAGAGGGCCTGATAGCTGTGTGTGTATTAATGTGAGAGGGCCTGATAGCTGTGTGTGTATTAATAATAGTAGGCTGAGTGAATTTTGTGTTATAATGTGAGAGGGCCTGATAGCTGTTTATGTGTGTGTGTGTATAAATGTGAGAGGGCCTGATAGCTGTGTTTGTAGTAATGTGAGAGGGCCTGATAGCTGTGTGTGTATTAATAATAGTAGGCTGAGTGAATTTTGTGTTATAATGTGAGAGGGCCTGATAGCTGTGTTTGTAGTAATGTGAGAGGGCCTGATAGCTGTGTTTGTAGTAATGTGAGAGGGCCTGATAGCTGTGTGTGTATTAATAATAGTAGGCTGAGTGAATTTTGTGTTATAATGTGAGAGGGCCTGATAGCTGTTTATGTGTGTGTGTGTATAAATGTGAGAGGGCCTGATAGCTGTGTTTGTAGTAATGTGAGAGGGCCTGATAGCTGTGTGTGTATTAATAATAGTAGGCTGAGTGAATTTTGTGTTATAATGTGAGAGGGCCTGATAGCTGTGTTTGTAGTAATGTGAGAGGGCCTGTTAACTCTGTGTGTATTAATAATAGTAGGCTGAGTGAATTTTGTGTTATAATTTGAGAGGGCCTGATAGCTGTGTGTGTGTGTGTTTTATTGTATTAATGTGAGTCACTTGTGTGTTATAGTGCGAGGTGTATGTTAAAATGTGTGTGGCCACACACACAGCTATCAGGCCCTCTCACATTAATACACACACACACAGCTCTCAGGCCCTCTCAAATTAATACACACACATGTGACTGTGAACACGTGTGTGGGTTCATGTGTATCACTATTTGTTGTGTGCGCGTTTGAATATGCGCGCGCGCATGCTTACAAAATCAAATAAAATCAATACCTGATGTATGCAGGAAGGTCCTGGTTTTGTGTGGCTTCGTAGTAGTAGTCAATATCGTGATCAGGGTCCCTTCCCAACATCGCAGCCCACATGCACACTCCAAGAGAGAAAGCGTCCATCTATAAGTCAAATCATAATAGTAATAATAATCTGTTTTACTTCAGTTCTACCTAATCACAGATATAGTCCAGTTCCATCAATAGGCAGTGCTGCAATGGGATTTATTTTTGAAAAACCCAGCTAAGCTGGCCAAAGAACAAAACAATATGAAAACATAGGTTGTTAAAAAAAAAGTAAAAATTTTATAGTTACGATACGAAACATTTTTATATAAGGCCATACCAGATTTAAACCCAGATCTGGGGGTAAAAACCCATAACTGAAAGCAGAAGGCGAGAAAGTCACCGTGTTTTTAGAGGCATATCAAGAGGATGGTTTCCCTTGACTTGAGAGAGCGCTCGCGGGATTGTCCATCGGAATTGGAACTATTCGCTTGCTGCTGAAGATGGGGACAGAGCGCTTATGGCAGTGGCCCGAGTGCTGTGATGTCGATTCCTAATTCATAATTTAACATTAGCGGGAATAGGTTGGTGTATATGGAGGGGGGGGGATGCACGTGTAAGTGAGCTTGTTTGTGTGTGCTTGGTCCTGATAGACCCTGCGGGCTCATGCGCATACACCTGGAGCTCCCTCACTTATAACACTTCGTCATCCCCTTGTGGGATGCCATTGTTTGTCATTAGAAGCCCCACCTTGGCTTTTGTCTGAAAATAGCTGGGCCAAAATTGTGGCCATAACGGCCGGGACCTCTCCACGGGTGATCCTCATCCGCATGGTGGCACTGTGTGTCACCTGGTGTTTATGGCTTGTGTGATGTCCTCGTGGGGTACAACAAGTAAGCAAGCCCCCTCACTTCTCCCCATCACCAATAATTTTTTCGGATGCAGCCCCATGTATAAACATCCTCATTTTAATTTAAGCATTTCTGCATCCATTTGAAATTACTTAACATATGTTGTTATAAGTATATGCTCTACAGCACACAATATTATTAATAATAATTATTATTGCAATTTAAACACAACTAAAGCCCCTTGTGAGCTCACGATATTTGATCAGTTCAAACGTTTTCCTGCGTTTATTTGCCTGTTCGCTTGCCAAGGGTAACCTGTTTACATCCTGTAGGTCGGGATCGCTATAACCGTGGGGGGGGGGGGGGCGCATTTTCAAACACCACCCCCCCCCCCCCCCCACTTGTCTTTCCCGGTAGTTATAATAGTTTTATATAATGATTAATCAGAATTTTTTTGTTTTGTTTATTTAAGCAAACGTGACTGAAACAACTATTAGCGTGCAGAAAAAAAAGGGCGCATGTATTTTTTTTTTTTTAAATCAGCAAGCAGAATAAACGCAGCGTGCACTGAAAATGAGTTCACGAATCAAAGAAAGCACAGATGCTAAAAAATAAAATACGTTACTGTCAGTTACTTCAGGCGTATTGGGCATATAAGGCTAGACCTGGGAACCAAAGTCTATTAGAAAAGGTCCGGTACCCAGGAGACCCGAACCCATGACCTTCCGATCCGCAGGCAAGCGTCTGTCTGCTACACCACAGTGGTATGAAATCTTCAAATGAAAAAAAAAAGAAAGAACCGTTTTCACTATAATGGGCGTTACATACCAGTTGGCATTATATACCCGATGTTGACAGCACGTTGGTGGTCTGTACTTACCAAAACATTTCCTGATACTTATTTTATGGTGGATAGACCTAAGAGCCAAGGATATACAAATCACGCGCCGCCACCCCCAGGTTGCATACTATTAATCTAGAGAAAGAAAATATCTGATGTTTCCAAGCAGAAATAAGGAGTCTAAGAAAATAAAATTACTGAGCAGAAAGGTTGCATTAAATAAAATAAAGTTTACTAAACAAAAAGAAATACCCATCGGTGGGTTGTGGGATCGGTTCCTGATGGGTACTGGAATGTGGTCAAAACAGTGACCTAAGCTCCCAGGTCGGCGCAGCTTTGAGTGGGTACGAGGTACAGTCCTGGGAAGTAAAGGCGGCCGGCGTGATGCTGACCACATCACCCACTAGGTGCCGTTTGGTCTGAAAAATATAGGTCTAGCCCTATATACCCAACAGGCCTACGCTTGAAAGGCGTGGGGAATGGGTCCTTGACTTTTAAACATAATGAGTCTACACGTGCGTGTACCGATAGAACCTTGCCTTAATATGTTGTTCCAGATGTCGTCGGGGACCATAGTGTAACCTAACGGTTGAACGGGGTGTCTGGGACTTGTATTCGGGTGATTCTCATCCGAATAGTAGCACTTTGTGTCATCGGGTGTTTATCGCTGGTGATACGGTCCTGGTGTGGTTGAATTTCACTCACTCAAACGTTGTTGGCTGCGTTGTCTCGAGGCACGGTGTCTTCCAATCAATCCCTGGGAAGCGCTGGGATTTTTTTGGACTTCTTGTAATTCCCCCCTGATCTCTGGGTAGTGAGATCGGACGCCCGTGTGCATTGTTGTGCACGTAAAAAAAATCCATTGGCAGTTAGAAATCGAAAAGAGTAACCTACCGGCGCTGCCCGGGCAAACATTTAGAGCTAAAAATCTACCCAAAATTGTTCAGGATCCTCGCCGGTGCTACAGAGCCTGTGCGCTGTGTTGAGCTTCTTCAGACTCAGACTTGAGCTAGAAGAAGAACGGAGCACATTACTACTCGTGTGCCATGATGATCCGATGTACAATCCTCATAGCTCACTCAAACGTGCATGGAATAAAGCTAACACATAGAATTAAGAAAATTATACAGGCCAACTATGGGTTGTGGAGTTTCAATATAAAGTAGACCAACAACTTACCCTATAAGGATCCAATTGCTTGTCATCTGGTGACCCTATTCTTTCTGGAGCATAGTAGCAAGTAGTTCCCCCACAAACTGATTTTGGCAAGGTCTTTTGGTCAGGCTGAAGCTCAACGGCTAACCCAAAATCTCCAAGGATGGCATTAAAGTCATCATCAAGAAAAATGTTATCCAATTTCACATCCATATGGGCAATGTTATTTTTGTGCAAGTATCTTAGGGCACAAGCAACTTGGCTGATACACAGTTCTGACAGGTCCAAACTCAGGATGCCCACGTAGTTATCCAAAGTTCCTCGAGAATAGTAATACATACATATGGCGAGGTAATCTTTGCACTGCCCCGCAATGAGGATCTTGACGATGTAAGGATGATTCAGGGATTGCATGAACTGCACCTCGTTCTGGAATGCTTGCATACTTCTGATCTTATTTTCTTCATCCAGGAGTGAGAACTTCTTCACAACTCTCCTGAGTTCAGGTTTTGCCAGGGGTATGGCCAGAATGACTTCCCCACACATCCCCTTGTCCAAGACCTCATCAACTTTCAGCTCGAACTGTGTGAAGAAATCGGTTTCGAGTAAACATACCTTGGGATTCTGCACAATGGAATTAGCCATGATGAAATGAATATCCGAACCCACGAAACTTAAATCCAAATCACCAAGAAGTATGTGGTTTATCCACAAGAATGCAACCACGCACTAATTTTGCTGTGTTCCACTGAACTGAGGGTAGTTTTATGGTGTGGTCATCTATGTAATTAGGGGGTCTTTGTGAAAGCGTCGTGTGAATGTTGAAGAGGCGCAGGTATAATACTTCTCTCCATTAAAGTAACAACATTCTATTGACACTTTCAATAGGGGTGGGGCATTGCAAAAACTATCCTCCACTGCTATCGTTATGTCAACAAGACTCGCTTGAAGCCGGCGGCGAGTGGTCAAGAAACAAAAGATGTTATCAGGTAAGAAGTAACGACTAGTCTCACCTGCCTTGTTATCAATGGATGACCGCGGCTTACGCAATAAGACCCTTTCATTAGGAGCTTATTGGTTCGTCTTTCGGAGGTCCTTAGATTTTAGATTTTTGAATACAGGCAATGTTTACCGTGGGGTTTACCAATACCGTGTTGGAAGTGGCTATTGTTTGTGCTAGTCTAATTCACAGCCTGTTTTAGGGGTACTCAGAACAATGCCTGACTTTATGGCGTGTCTTACCGATAAGGGTTGCTGGTTGTTTAGGGGGAAAAGGGGGGGGGGGGATTCTCCTTGCACAATCACTCAAGCTTTGTATCAAGCCTCTAACACTTTATGATCTAGCCATTTTGAAATTTATTTATTTGCCTTCCTGTCAGCATAATAGCAGAGGGCATTGTATCAAAAAAGAAGGGACAGAGGACGACCAACAAGAAGATGGGCACAGGATATAAGTGATTTTTTAAATATGAAAGTACACAAGGCGGGGAAGCTGGCGATAGACCGAGTTTCTTTCAGACTGTGATGAGAGCGACGTTCTGCAAAGGACCTGCTACATGGATTGATCTGCCTTCTAATCTCATCGAGTCAGATAGCTGCAATTAGATTTTCACTCGTATTCTTCTTATAACATGCCTACACATCTTTGCTGCGAATTATTATTTACATAATGAAATTTAAACGTTTCATCTGAATTAATTATTGTCTCCTGCCGGCGACTGTAGCTTAGGCATAGCGAACACGCTTCATAATGCTTGGGTGCTGGGTCGATCTCAGCTGTGGACAGTTAGTCTTGCGTTGGTTTCGATTGTGGCTTGGGTGCTGGGTCGATCTCAGCTGTGGACAGTTAGTCTTGCGTTGGTTTCGATTGTGGCTTGGGTGCTGGGTCGATCTCAGCTGTGGACAGTTAGTCTTGCGTTGGTTTCGATTGTGGCTTGGGTGCTGGGTCGATCTCAGCTGTGGACAGTTAGTCTTGCGTTGGTTTCGATTGTGGCTTGGGTGCTGGGTCGATCTCAGCTGTGGACAGTTAGTCTTGCGTTGGTTTCGATTGTGGCTTGGGTGCTGGGTCGATCTCAGCTGTGGACAGTTAGTCTTGCGTTGGTTTCGATTGTGGCTTGGGTGCTGGGTCGATCTCAGCTGTGGACAGTTAGTCTTGCGTTGGTTTCGATTGTGGCTTGGGTGCTGGGTCGATCTCAGCTGTGGACAGTTAGTCTTGCGTTGGTTTCGATTGTGGCTTGGGTGCTGGGTCGATCTCAGCTGTGGACAGTTAGTCTTGCGTTGGTTTCGATTGTGGCTTGGGTGCTGGGTCGATCTCAGCTGTGGACAGTTAGTCTTGCGTTGGTTTCGACTGTGGTACCGAGAACTGACCGTTTAGTAGCAATGGCAAACTACTGAACGTTAAATTTGCATAGAAAAACCACAACAATCAAAATGAAATATGATGGTGTTGGTCCTGCAAAGGATAAACAACTAACTTCTCCTGTCTGCCCACATTATTCGTTGCACATTTTTCCTAAACCACATGCACCTTGTTAAGCGTCCATTTTCATTCCTAACACGCACATGACAACATAGTACAAGCGGGTAGAACTTGGGCTGTGTATTTTTGACAGTTTTCTCGGTTATAACCTTTTAGGAGATTGAATAAGATATACAAAAATATCCCTGTTGATCGACACCTCTTCCTTGCCTCTCCCCCCCCCCTCTCTCTCTCTCTCAGGAAGCGACTTTTTGAATCGATAAGAGAGAGAGAGAGAAAAAAAAGAGGAGGGAACCTTCACGTAGCAGTTCGAAAGGGACACAACTACCAAAAGACTAAGTATCACAGACAAGCTGTAGACCACAGTAGATAATGCAACTGCCCTTTCACGTAATGTTGAATTAAGAATCGACATCACAGCACCTGGGACACTTCCGTAAGCCCCCCCCCCCACCCCCCCCCCCCGGTTGGGTTCCGGGGCCCTACTATGGGGAAAACAAGAATAGACCCACTGCCTACCCAAAAGCATGTCGTAAGAGTCGACTAATTGGGAGCTTCCTTCGAAGTCGGAGTGCATCTGCTTGAGAGGCAAGGAACCAACAGTCTGCATACAGAACTGTCAAATGGATGCACACGCAACACTCAGGTTTTGGAACAGGACTGCAGTCCAGAAGTGGACGAACAACCATAACTTTCCGCCGGAGTTTACAGCCGGTGAACGCGAAGAAAAGGAAAACTCGCAAGCGCTACGTCCATATATTCAGCAGCAAGCGAAGAGTTCCATTCAAGTTCCAATGGCATCAGTAACTGTTTGAGTATATCTGTCTGGTCATTCTTTTAAGTTTAGCGTCGGCTAGATCCCTTAGTAACTCGTTGTGACGCTATTTTCCTCACACCGTAATGATACATTTGTACCCCCGCACAGTTCACTCGCTCCAAATGGGTCCCCACAACATCAAGCATGTCACACAATAATTCACAACCAAGTGGTACAGAAACGGCCAGCCCATCTACCTGCTCAATTCTTAAAACACCGGTATGACACGGAGAAAATATCCCTTTTCATCCTCCCACGATGAATACGAACATAATTAATCTCAAACCATTGACATGGCACCTTAAGTTACAATTTATATTAACCAAGCATAGATCGAAAAACAAGCATGTCTCCTAGAGATAAGCCTTATATAAGGGGGTAAATCGCACACCACGTTCTATCAGATGAAGGCCTCAAGCGTCGTTGTCTCTACTGCGTGGTTATGTATGCGGTGGTTGTATGACGTATGATGGATTTTCCTTGGGTAAATTCATAATAATAAAAATAATAATTATAATAGCATTGTTTTTGTAAATAGTTTAAATAAAAAAAAAACCGTATTGACAATAAAACTGAAACAAACTACGTATCCCGGATTAATACAAGTACAAATTCACCCATTAAAAAAAACTGTATCACTATACTCTGACATTTTTTCTCCCTTCCACCCCCTGCCACCCAGGTTGAAAACCCCGACAACAAAGGTTCTTTTTCACTTTCTGCATATAATAAACAAACATATATTATATTAATCGACACTAATAGAAAAAAGTAGAAAGATATAAGGACACACTAGACAACATAAAAATAGAAAGCTATTGTTACCATGCCGGTAATCGTACCTCTCCGCTCCAAATGGCGTGTGCGCCTCGTAATGGAAACAAGTGTACTAAGAACACGACCAACTAGGCACACCATCCCCCCTCTCCCCCTCCCCAAAAAAGTGTGTTAATTGACCATGTCCATCGTACAACTTGAAATCCACAACTATGGAATACGAACAAAATTAATTTCAAACCATTGACACATCACATCACCATAAGTTACAATTTATATTAACTAAGCATAGATCGAAAAACAAACACAGCAACAATTTACGAATACAGCAGACCGTAATGCTTTGTCTAGAAAACACAAACATTTAAGGAAGAGATTTGATTAGTCTGTTCCACTGTGTTACACGTCATTCACATAAATAAACAGACGGAGAACCCTTCAGGCTGTAGAAATATTATATATATATATATATATATATATATATATATATATATATATATATATATATATATATATATATATATATATAAACAAACAGATATTGTATTAATCGGCACTATACAAAGACGTAGAAAAATAGAAGAACACACTAGATAACATACAAATCTGTGGCGTTTAGACATGTAGTACTAGCCCCCACGTCTGTATTCACCATAGGCGACTAACCCTGGGAGCTCAAGTCCCTTGAGGGGCCACCAATAATCTTGTAAGTGCAGTAAGAGGCTCCCTTAAACCATTTATATAAATTCTCTTTGAAAGTGTTTCTTCATACATTTCAAGCTATTCGTAATAATAATAATAATAATAATAATAATAATAATAATATGTTAATTGACAAATGAAAATAATAAAATACTAGCACCAAAAGACATCGGAACCTGCCCATCCCCCCCCCCTTTTTCCTCATTTTTTAATAAGCAGCCTCCTCCTTTATCGCCGTATATAGACGTTCTCTTTTAAGGCATTTGTTAATTTATTTCGTATTATTTAAAAAAAAAAATTATATGCCATTCGGTACAGAATTCTTATTAATTTTGTGCAATTAAACAAGCTTTAAATCCTTTAGGATCCTTCCCCTAAAATGCCGTAGGGGTGAGGCAAGGCCGTCTCCAGTCTCTAGAGAAGGCCTTGGGTGAGGTAACTGAAATAATGTATGCCTTGTTATATCACATCACGCCGGCTCCCCATCTGGGAGCGAGGCTGTAACCTTCCAACGGACCGTCTCAGGAACAAGGTGTCATCCCGAGTATTTACATTAGCTGACATTCAACAGTCAACATTGAACTCAGACATGCAATTGTCTAGTACAGGTGTACAGGCAATGGACTATGACGCGATCACTCGGCTTTAACGCGTGTTTCCTGCCTTGTGCTGCAACTGGTAAATGAAAGTATTCAACAAAGAGTGGGTAAATCAACCGGACTGTTTCAAAGACAGGAAAATATCCCGTCGCCTAGTTACAGATTGAATGCGTTACTGAACGAAATGAATGGACAGATCACTCAAAATTGTAGATTTGTGTTTTTTAAACTGCCGAGGAGGGGGGGGGGGGGGTAAAATTAAAAAGAGAGA